TCTTATTAGTCTAAAAAGAGCTATCAGTTACGAAACTTGATTTTGCTTTGCTTCACTTTTCATTCGGGCCTACTGTTATTTGGAAAAATGTAAGATATTATTCTTTCATATGTAATTTGCCTGTTATGAATTAACAAACTATTTAAAAGTAATAAATGCAGTTCTTAAGAACATTATTATTATTACTATTATTTTGCTTACATTTTAATCTCACTGGCAGTTAATTCAAGATACACCTAAAGAGAAATATTTTTACAGAATTACGTTACATATTTTTTCACTTTTTAAATATACAGAAGATATATAACGTTCCCATGCTGGTCTAAATGCATATTCATCTAATATTCTATAAAATGTTTCATTATTTCTCCTGGCTATCTCTATCAGTAATCCCGACTGGTAAACCATACTAAACCATAAAACAGCCCTTTTGGGCTATCGCTAAAATCTAAACCTTTTCAGTTTTTTATGTTTTTAAATTTTTTTATTATTAGTTTGTATTTTATTCCGTTTTTTGTATTAATTTCATTTGCTCAAACCATTATTTTTAATTTTTGTTTAGTAACAATTTATATCTTTGCTTTCGCACTAGAATTAAAACTTCGATTTATTCTCATCTTTATAACTAGGATATCTGTTTGTTTAAATTCATACTTTTATTTTTCAGATATCTGTTTTTATTTTATTGCACTTAGTTTGTATTTTGATTATTTTCCTTGCCCTGACATTTTTGTTTCAAATTTAATGTCTCTTTTCATTGTTAATTTCGTTTGGTCGGTAATTTTAAATTGTTTCCCTAATTTCCCTTACAAATTACTTTAAAAAATTCAAAAACCTAATATAAAAATAGAAATATAGATGATCATTGTAGTAATATACATTTTGTTGGACATGACCATTTGTAACCTTATAAGGTATTTCTCCCACCTTCCTAGCATGCCTTCGTGGTGTGGTGGTCGGCGCGAGGAGGTTCCAAAGGTTCGCGATTCGATTCCCGGCGAAAATGTTGCTCATTTTTCATCTTTTTTTAAAAAAAAAAAAAAAAAAAAAAAAAAAATTCTAATGTATTAAGTTAAAAATCCACACATAAAGTACAGCTTTTGCTTCCAAAAGAATCCATCATATAAGCGAATTCAGAATCGTCTTGAAGCGGAAAAGAATATTTGCAACAATCTTGCAATTTAAGCTGCTATACCATCACAATAATTCGAGAAAAACTTACGCGAAATAAAAAATCATCTGAATAATTTATGATGACATTTCAAACGAAATACTTACGCATAACGATAGTTAAGATAGGGAATTCCATCGCGTTGTTTTCAAAGAAATTTGTTTTTCTTGCAAACAACAAGCTGAATAAAGGTAAGACACCTCGGAAGTTCCACCCTTAACGACGACAGTTAGATATCAATTATATATCTCCTCTCTTTATGGCTGGCAGAATGGACGCCGATAATGCCTATTGCACAAAAGCATTTCGACTGATTATATATGACTAGAATTGTTGTTTCGACTATTTTTTTCCAAGTACGGGTGATGACAGATTGCCGGCAATTGGACTCGAACTCGATAGATAACAATAATTCCCTTAATAACGGTCGCGACACGAGAATGCACAGTCGTAAAACGATCAAAAAGCAAACACCACAGTATATCCGCCGAAAAAGATAAAATGGCAAGTATTTGACAGACTGGCCTTTGGTAAAGGCAGTAAATCCTCGAGATATGGATAGGGAATTGCACTGGCAAAGATTGCAACCATTATGTTTTGAGTAAACACATCGGCGACATAGTTGCGGCGGCAGATTTCCGGAAGGTAATAACACTAGATTCAAAGCGTATTAATAACTGATCATATATTGTCTCATATTTCTTAGGGAAATACAGAATATATTTCATATTGTGCAAACATACCTAGCAACATTGTTGGATAAAGGACAGTTACGAAACACATATCACAAGAAAAGAATGCAGTTCAAGAAGTTTTCGTCCTCGCCAATCATAACTATTCGAACTTTTACAGTTATTTCCATATGTGTTTGATAACAAGAAGACCAGGCATTCTCCCCCCATGATGTACCGTTCCGGGGTTTCCCAATACAGGCCTTTCTGGAAATAACGACAAAAAAAATCATACCATTTCAAGTTTGTTTTCCCCTTCTGCAGATGCTCTGGATAAAAACATCAAAAACCGTACTATTTAAGCATTATAGCTCGTGAGAAGATACTGGAGGAAGGTAACATTGTAAAGGAAAATTCGTGTTACCTTAAGTCATGCCGGAATAAACTGTGAGCGAAACAAGAAAATCGAAAAAAGAAGGCTTCTTCAAATGCATAATAATAAATATTTCAGCCAGAAAAGGAGACACAGTCTTTATTTTAATACCATAAATAGTAACTTCGGTAAGCAGATAATTATAACCCCTCCCCTAATTTTCCTAGATATGGTTTAATATTCTCCCCTACGACGAAAGTCACCATTAAAAATCCGTAAAATAGTGAATTTATTTTATTAAGAACTGGCTGGTTCTGTTATCGGTATAGGATTCAGGAATGTATGTATATAAGCCTGTATGCATGCATATATGGAGGTATATAAGTATGTGTGTGTATATATGTGATATATTCAAAGTCAAAAGTAACTGAAGAGCAGAGTCAGGAATTTTGATGTCGTAGAAGTTTTGATCCATAATGACTGGGAAGTTGGAAGCGAATGCAGAGTAAATTTTCAGTTTCATTTTCAGAAAATTGTTGCGGCTACACAAAAGTCGGCACATTAAATGTGCCTGTTCCAAAAGGCTTACATTTTTGATAACTTTGTAGCAAGAAAGCAGCAGAGGATATATAGCAGCAGTAGGCCAAAGCGTGGAAAGCAGATGCGTAATGTTCAGGATGAAATCCTGAGTCAGACTGAGTTAGTTTTGGTTCTCAAAGCATTTTGATTGGACAGTTAATATTGCTCTAAAATTACTATTGGCTGGTTAAGTTCCATTTACATCACCATAATTATGTAAGAATCATATGACATAGAATTGTCTCGAAATGACGCAGTGCAGAGAGGGGTTTCTATTCTTAGAATTGAGAAGGGAAATTTACGTTGCAAATTTAATCTTTAACATATTCTTTATTTTTCTTACACACACACATATATATATATGCACATACATCCATAACATGCATGCATACATGCATTTCTGAATCTTATCCCAATAACAGAAAAGTACCAAGAATTGTAATAGCAATATTACTGACGATTTTCACGATTCTTTAGAGCACTGTATTTTTAATACACATTTAATGCTAGACATGTCCTCCAAAAAAGTTTCCATTTTTCGCTTTCGGTGTTTCAGTTTTCAAAATATATTAGGCCCGATTATTTTTTATAAGTCGGCATGATCCTATTTCAAGATAATAATAACATTGAGTTGTAATCAAATTTTAAAAACATTTGGTTTTATGCTATTAGATGTAATCACCAGTGTCTTTAATGGTTTATCTTAAGCCGTGCCTAAATTAAGTTTAAAGGCTGAAGCACTAGCGTGATATCAGTTTATACATATTTATTAGTTATGCGGCCTGCAACAGCTTTTTCGGATTTTACGTTGATCCTGAATGATTAGGCTGAAATAGGATTCGTTGTTACCTATCCCATCAAGAGAGACTGAAATGGCACGATTAAAAAAAAGCCTCAACTGGGAAAGCCTGAAATAGAACATAATCTTTTCCTCCCGATGGTCATATCGTTAACTTCGTATTGCTTATACCAAAAGACATTCGGGATTATTAATAACTCTGAAATGTCAATTTATTTCGACAAAGGAGGATGCCGTATCCAGGTGCTCTTTTGTACGATTTTGTATCATATACAAGGCAGTTCTCAGACCATCAAACATGTAAATCAATATAAAAAACAACATTTACTTCTGGTACTTAAGAACTTACTTCTGGTAATTAATACAACATTTCTTAATGGATTACAAAATTGCGACACATATACTTCTACAATATTAAGTTGGTTTCGTGCCGATTGTTTGAAGTTAGCGGAAATTTCAAGTTACTTCCAGTAAATAAAATTTTAAAATATCAGTACTAATTCTGAAAAAAAAAAAAGAGAGATAAACCCCGAAAAATGATTATCCAAAGTTTTTGCATATTTCTTTTCCGACGAAGTTTAGTAGACAGTGCTTTCAAATATATGAATTTATTACTCCATATTCTGCCCAGAGAGAGAACTCTCAAAAGAATCGAAATCTACAAGATAATCAAAATATTTTTCACAAGCAAACCTAAAAATTAATGGATGCACGACGTTGCCATTTACCGTTAAGTAAATCGAACTAAATTCGAGTCTAACAACAAAGTTCTAAATTATGGCTACTCTAACTTCTTTTACAAGATGCTCCCGTCACAGAAAGCAAAAAATCCCGTATCACTGTTTTGTTTTGGATATATATACGATAAAAATGCTAGAAATCCCTAAATACATTCATGTATTAATCAAATACATAAGTAAAATTTTCAACGCAAAACGATTTTGATCGAGAGAGAGAAATATTTTATGAGTGCAGCCTAATAAAGAATTATTACAGTTTGGGGATACTCACTTGACCATGCAAACAAAACAAAGTCTTATTTATAATCAAATTTAAATACATTTAAAGGGACATATTTATTTTACACGCCTTTAAAAATAATTGGCCACTTCTAGTTTTAGCCAGATCAATTTTCTTTCTTTTTTGCCAACAGAAGGGTGGCCGGTCCATCGGGAGTTAACATATCGGTCGAAAAGCCTCACTTCTGTAATTTAATTATCTGTACCGCAATGGCTGGGAAGCAACTGCTTCGAAAGAGTCTTTGAAGAATACGTATATACTCCAGCTGTCAAAGGCAGAGTAAACGATTAGCCAAGATTGTGACAAATTTCAAACAATTAATGGTCGAAAGGGGGGATGAACAAATACAACAGAGGTAAATAAATAAATGGCCAGATCAAATGGTCAATCACCTCCTGAGATGACTGACCACTTCAAGCCAGATCAACTGGACAAAGCTCGAAGTGGCCGGTCATCTCGAGAGGCAAATGTTTATTTGATTCGACAGGATTTCGGGCTTTGTCTGTAAGAAATATAAAGAGCTTTAAAAAGGCCATAGAAAAGAAAAAAAAAAAAAAAAGAAAAGAAAACTACAAACACAAAACTCTCTTTCGGTACTTGTGAAATCGGAACGATGCAGTTTCTACATCAGGGAAGAGTTAATTTTTTAATTGGCAATGAGAAACAAAATGTATTTTTATCTCACCTGGTTTGCTCTTTCCAAGTCATTTACGATAATTTCCATTTCATCCGACCTGTGAAAAAAACGAACGGTATAGGAGAAAATTAAAGCAAAGGCAAAATATGTAAGAGGATACACAAAATCTAACAAAATCACAACAGATTCCCATTCAAGCTATGTGAAACCTAATGACTCATATTATTTTTTTTTAAATCTAATTTATTACGTTTATTTTAGCATTCCATTTCATGGTTAAAAATAGATAAAAAGAAAAAAGAAGCATTTTAATTGTATATTATCTTAAATTTAAGTCCTTATAAGAAATTAATTCGAATTACTTCTCTTATACATGTTTTCACTTTTTTTTTTTTTTTTTAAACACGCAAAAGTTTCTTTCTGATGGCTGGTTCTTGGATTATTAGTGTAGTTATAAAAGGTGCGTTATAGTGTGCACACATAGACACACGTATATATATATAATATATATATATATATATATATATATATAATTATAAGCAAAGTTGTATCAAAAATAGCAATGGGCCAGTTCTTTTTTTTTTCACTTGCAAAATAAATAATTTATCGACTAAATAAAAACCATTTTAATTTAAATTCCGCTTACTAAATATTTATCAAAACATACGTACATACGTAAAAATAATAACAATAACGTGCAAAAGGGATAAAATTCAAATTTCTATTTATTTCCTGCCTGAAATATAAACTTTAGTACCTGCAAGAAATTTTTGTTGGATAAACTTTGTAATTTAAATAACCTGACAAATAAACATCTAACATATATTTCAGACTGACATTTACTTCAAATAATTCTAATATGTTTAATTAATCACTAACTAAATACCTTACTTTTAACAAAAACAAATTATGGAAACTTTTTAGAGAAAACCTTCCAAGTGGAACAAAACTTGAGAATAAATATTGACAACGTAATCTCTTTCTTTTATTTATTAAATTTTTCTTCGACACATTGATTAAAATATTGTTGCGTTCTACAGGTTCGTAGATTTGAAGTAACTGACGAAAACACTTGATGAAGAATCAAAACACAATTTATTCGCCAGTATTACACAGGACAGTTCCAAAGACAGGTTTACAGTCGTCGAAAAACTACGACAAACACACTGGAAAAATCAGCAACACAGCCTTTAGGCTATAACGGTATAACGGTGAAGACAGCTTCACAGCAAAGCACTAAATTGTCGGTCGATCGCTGTCAAGCTAACCTCTGAACTCAAGTTACTACTACACTACTGAATTCAAGATATTCTAGATACTACTCCTACTCCGCGTACAGCGGGGAATATATAACTTTTGACCTGTCTTCGAGAACATTCTCGGGAATGCTCTTTCTAGAATGTTCTCGCTCCGTCTATGGCATATTGCCAATTGTGTCGCCAGATGGTCGATTTCGCGTCAAATATGGCAATCCCGCTTTTTCTTACCACTTTTTGGCAATCATAACCCCGCTCTGCGGGGAAGCTATCTTACCGCAGATCGGCATTTCGTAACAATACATATGTTTTTATGTAAATAATTATAAATTTTATATGTAAATATAAATTTTGTTTGTGTAACGTCACACGGGAGAAAATTACTAGAAATTATTCTTATGGTGGACTGTAGATGCTCATCGGTCAATCGGCTTTTTTCTTATAAGTTTTCAAATGTGAAAAAGAGCTGTTCACAAATAAATGTATTTCTAAAACAGAGCAATTATTCATAGTGTAAAAATTCGTAAATGACCGTACTTATTTTCGGACAAATATGAATAAAAGTTAAATATGTAACTTCATATCTTTGAATAAGATTTATACCATATGTTGTAAATTAATTAGCTAAATTTAGAGGTTTGCTGATGTGCTATTTACTTTCATTTTTAATAGTAATGAAAATAATATAAACACGGGCTTCCAATGATTAGTTTTGAAACTTCCGCAACACCGTATTTGCAACAAAATACGTAATTGAAATGTATCCGCGGGTAAATTGCTTACAGGGTCGCCAGTTTGAGGCCTCTGTTTTATAATATTTATTTCGTCTATAATATTTTCCTGTACTTCCAATACTCGAATACAAAATTGCAACTTTTAATTTTTTTCTTCAGAGGGTCGACGACATATGTCATACCCAAACCAAGGATTTCCTGTGCAAAATCACTAAATGTCTAGTTTGCATAATGTAATATTTTCAGATAATGCAGTCGTTAAATAAAACAACTCCACTCTTTCTTTTGTAAGCATTTCAAAGTATTCCTTAAATAAAAATCCGATTTGTTTTAGAAGTGCTAGTTTTACTTTCATTTGGAATAAAGCAAAACTGGCTTGTTTGACTTTCTACAATTTAATTTTACGTAACAGGTTTTTAAAGAAATCAAAAGATATAGTCTTTAAAATATTGTTTTCGTTAAACTATTAACATTAATACTTGTAAGTACTATTTTTGCTCTGTAAAGAAAAGTACCTACTGTGGTACCTTGGTATATGACATTAATCTGTTCCGAATCCTTGGAAAAACATCAAATGAACTTTTCCAATAAAAAACAAAGAGAAAATAATTAACCTGTTCTTATTTAAAAAAACTATTTTTATCATAACTTTTCATTTGAACTACATGATTTTACGCTATTATCACACTTTCTAACATGAACGCATTTTTAAAAAAGTGGCTTTTAATTTAGCTAATAAAATTTCTTATGTACTGAAATAATTTCTATCATTAATACGCATAATAATTCCCAAAATATGACAACCCCGCTTTTCCTTGCCACTTTCTGGCAATCCTAACCCCAAATTTATATCAATATCTATCTAGAAACCCAAATGTTTTTTACGGGCAATTTTCCAAATCCTTCGATAACTCGAATTTTCGATTCCTTTTTTTGTTCTTTTCAATTTCAATATCTTAAAATATATGAATGTTAACATACTTTTGCTTTAAACGTGCAATTTCTTAAAAACGCAAATGATAAATTTTCATTAGTGAAATAAACAGCAACAGTCTTTATTTACTTTTTTTTTTTTTTTTTTTTTTACGACGACCTCCCAATTTTGTCATCTTTAAATGAAATACAAAGTAAGATTAAAAACTGTGCATGCAAGAATCAGGATTTTGCAAATATTTCTGTGAACATGAATGATAAATTTAAAAAAAAAAGATTATATAGTGAAATGATTAACTGAACATTTGCTTTGCAAAAAAATAGAAATAAATTCAGTGTAGTATTTGAAAAACGGTTGCATAAACTTTGCTTTCCTTAATTTTAAATAAATTTTCTGATTTTAGAATTCTTTTCGTTTTATCACAGAGCTCTCACATATTTTATCACATAGCTTATCAATCCATAATCTTAAATATGTTTGTAAATAAAAATTAAGGACTCACTTGGCGTTCGAATCTTCATCATATTTGGATTTTAAATCAAAAAGTTGGGACTGAGATCTATCCAAGGCTGCAACAGAAGATAAAAAAATGCTTTAAGTTAAACAATACAAAAAAAATCAGATCCTTGTGCAATCAATAATAATATACGATGTAACTTAAACATGGACTCATTTATGAGACACATTTTGGAAACAATATTGGAAGTATGTAAATATGTGATACACTGCTAAAATGAACGGGCTCACCTTTAAATAGAACATCTTACATTACTAATTACTCCTTGATTCTAAAAGTAAATAATTAACTACGTAATAATAATAATAATAGTAAGCAAATAATGCTTTTAACGCATCTGATAACAACGATGCTATCAATATACATACCGGACATTTGGTAGACACATATAAGAAGAAATAATTATAGTGATTGATCAGATCTTCGTAGAGGCTTACCAGCACGCGCACTCAGCACTAACAAAAGGATATGTTTTAACTGTCACTTAGGGGCTCTAAAAAGATTGCTGTAAGCTTTATTTCCTTAAATAAAATTTTTCAAAATAAAGTACCTCCGTATTCGCAGGTAATTCGTTCTAGGCTATACTGCGGATAAAAACGAGCGCAAACTAAAACAGGATATCCATGTGATTCGGCGAAGTTTAATTAATAAATTTGGATAGTAAGACATTATCAACAGTAATAAGTAATAATAAAATATACTTACAATGTTTATCATTTCATATACTGTAATGTTAAATAAATTGATTTATTATTTAATTTTCAGAATTTTTGCTTTCTTTCTAATAAGGTATCGTTTTGGATTCTTTGGTATACCACGGCAAGTTTAGAAGCACTGGTAGCATCACTATATACCAAGGATAGCAAAACTTCATGTAAGTAAAAGCCGCAACAGGTTTCAAATGGAAAGAGACGTCTAATTCTAAACAATAATTCAACGACAGTTTGCCTTCACCATGTGACGACGCGTCGAAGACAACATGAAATTTTATGGTGTCTTTTTTTTTTTTTTTTTTTCCTAATTACAGCTTGATGCGGTAAAAGTACTCTTTTTCAGTTTTTAAAAGTTTTGATTCTTCCTGATACCTTCTGGTAAATGTTGACATATCACAGCTTTGAAACACTCACGAAACTTCAGCATGTTTGCAAAATTGTTTGGTAGAATCACTACAATTTTTTTAAAGCTTTTAAATAACATTATTAAATTTCTGAACTAATGAGAAATGAAATTAATTAATTACGTCAGGACATTGATTAGTTTAAGCTTACTAATAACTTTGTGAAAAGAAATGAAATAAACTAATTAATTTTTTTTGCACATTGAGTAGTTGCAATTTATCATCTTTAATACATATATTTGCAGAACAGCCACACGTGGCTCACCAACCATGCTTTGGCCATCCCTGCTATATACTCTTACGCTTGGAAGACATTGTAGCGTAAATCCAGAATTCTGTGGACGACAGTATGTCGCTAACAAGAATAGGGAGATTGTTAGAAGCAAAGCCGAGAGAAGTTTAACGGGAAATCTGTGTACATGGGGGAAAGACACGGGCGCTTTGACCATTGATGATCTTGGTCTCTCGTTGACATTTTTATAGTCGTTATGGGGTAAAGATTAATTAGGAAAAGCGCAATTCTGAAGAGAGACCTGTAACCTGAGAATATACCAGTTTCATCTCTCTCCCATAAGTTAAATCCGTTAGGAAAAATATGCACGTGCCAAATGGTCGGGATTACTGTGGAAACATAGTGCTTAGTTTGCATAGTGTGTTTTTTCCATTTAGCCCATAGGCTGTTCATCACTTGGCGCGCAATTTGAAACTTCAAAGATATTTGTATCTCCTTTGTGAACCATAGATACGGGGGTATCAGTGTACAGAAGTTCACACCACCGTGGAAAGTTATATAAAAATAAAATCTAACATAATATGCCCCCCCCCAAAGCAAGAAATCCGGTAAGTAAAAGGCTGGTTAGTCAACGTGAGTTATTGCGGCACAAAAATAAAAAACTTGCAAAAATTAGATATCATCAAATAAAAGTTTACTGAAAACACAGTCTGTGGTTGAATTCGTTATTGTTTCTAAACCTCTTTATCTGAACCAGATATCAAATTAAGAGAGGTTATTAAAGGTTGCGCCTGTCGCTCATTTAGGCTTTGAGTACCTTACAGATGTCAGTAGAGATTTGCTCAGCTCTGTTCTAGTTTTGGAAAAGAATTCCATACGAAACCAAGTGAGGTTTCGTTACCCTTCTTTCTCTTCTCTCAACCTCTCGAGAGGATGTTCAGCTCGGCAACATTTTAAGTGCCCCCTGTTGCAAAGACACTAACAAACTTTCATAGCTTTTGCGGGATATTAACATGGGGCTCAAGGCTATGGAAGCCGATTTTCTTATCACCATGCCAACAAAGCGGCTGTAGAAAAATTTAAAATAATGTACAACGCTGAAGGTATTATTAACTTGTGAACAAGTACACCACTGGAGTATAACTTAAAAGAATTCACAGTTATAACTGTCCCATCAACCGGACATCAGGACTTCATGGTCATGACCGATAAGAGTAACTTCCCAAGAACGACGATGTCCACCGTGGAAAGAATCAATATTTCTCTTCTTGAATAACTGAAATCTGTATAAACTTTTGAAGAGGACTAAGATTTGTGACGAAAACTATCAAGACGTAGACCAAAGTAAAAATCAAAATTTTAACCGTTTAGAAATCAACGAAATTGTTCTTACGTAAACCACCTCTTTGATACTTTGAACAGTTTGTTATGGAAATTGATGTTGTGGCAGCTGTTATGAAGTTTGTCAATTGATTATAAAAATATTCTGGAAGACAATTAAAATAAATATTTAGGAAATGTAATGTTATTGAAATATAGGAATTTTTCAACGAATAAACTTCAGACATAAATAACAATAATGGTATATAGGCATCTACTGACCACTTTGGAGTTGGGCAACTTTGCTCTCGGCCTCCTCGAGGTTTGATTTGACGACAAACCGAGATTCGGCTTGCACGCTCTCTTTCTCATCAAAAAGATGGAGGAGCTCTGGAACTTTCTCTTCGGCCTTGTCCTGAAATAAATAAATAAAATATGTAAAGGAAATATATTTAAAATTAATTTTTATAAGCTTTTATTTAGTTCACTCACAGTGTTTCAATGATGGAATTTCGTCATCGGTTTTTAACCTACTTCCTGATGAGCTATCGAGTTGAAATTTTGTGCACACATTGTTGTCGACGAAAACGCAATGTGGTGAAAAGATATTTTTAAAAATTCGATTTACATTTTTTTAAATTTACCGTTTAAACGATCTTTTGCCCATCGTTTAAAGCATAAACTAAATACATCAGAATCTTACTGTTTCTGGCATCGAATACGACTCAAAAAAGATTCTCAATGAAATTTTTAACCTTATTTCTTAATTTTAGGCGACTTTTTGAAAATAGCTCGATTTTTTTATACTATTTGATGTTTATAGTTTTAAAATTCCAACATCTACCTATGTATCGAAAATAAAATTTTGAAACTCTCACAGATTGTAAAACAAACTTTTCGTCCTCTTTTTAAACAAGAATGATAAAAAATTATAGAACAATAAATAGAACAATTTTCTACGTTTCGTTAAAAAATGTGTTGCAGTCGGAAGCATACTGAAGAAAAAAGAATTTTGAGTTTGTCCTTTTGGCATACTTGATGACGAAATTGGCGATATTCATCATCATCATTATTATTATTATTATTTAGCTTCAAGTAAAATACTGACTGTAACATTGTTATTACATCTAATTTCCGAAACTGAATATTCAAAGCGATTTCTTCATTCTCTGAAAGACGTTGAGTTATTTTACTTTATTTCACAATCTTCTTCTAATTTATTGCTTGTGTTTTAATAATGACTAAAAATTTTCATTATTGATAATGTGTAATTGACATTAAAAAACAGAAAATAAAATTCAATTAAAAAAAGATTTCAATATAATAATCTTTTATTTAAAATGGATATCATAATTAATGCACTAAAAGAAGAAAAATAATTTATCATATAATTTAGTCTGAACAGTACATTAAATAATTCCTATACATTTTTATACCGCGAGTAAGTGTGGGCACCTAAATAACGAAATATATTAATTTAATTGAAATGTCAAATGTATAAGTCATTATCTTTTTTGATTTTCCATTAATTTAATTGCATAATCCATTATCTTTTTTAATTTATCCTAGGCCTTTATCCTTTTCTTTTATCCCATCTCTTCTATTATTCGCGATATAAAATTGTAGATGAATTTTGTAAATAGAATTCTTTATTATTTCCATTAAACTGCACGATTAATTATTTATAAATCATTGATAAATAATTTATAAATAACGATAAATTATTATTCCCCATTTATTGCATCAATTATTATGTCCATTTTAAATAAAATCTTACTGAATAAAGATATTTTTTTTTTAAATTTTTCACATCATGATGAAGGTCTTCAAGGCGAAATGCTTATTATGATAAATATTTACTTTTAATAGAAAACATAGCGTTTATTCTAAGAGGTTATCCTGATTCAATAAGATTACAGATGAACTGGTATATATACGAGTATATATAATAGGCGGAAAAACGACTCTTTCTTTTTTCATCTTTTTACATCTTTTATTATATGAACTTGGACGAATTTAAAGAATATTTTTAAATTTATTTTTTAAATTTTTTTGTTAAGGTTGCTTTTTACGATCAGGATGATCAGCATTTTTGCCCACATTCTTCTGTTTTTTCTGTGAATAAGCACAGTTTCATTCGGAATAAAAATCCATGAACATTGGAGGTGGGTTTTGTGAATGTTACAAAATGTATTTAATTAATTTAAGATTGTTTTAGAACACTCACGGGACACAGAAACGTTCACTGGTTTTTATAAATGTGATTTGTTGAATTGTTCGGGTCTGACCTACGCTTGAAGTTCAGACTCGAGGTATTTTAATTCATTATGTTTTTAGTTTTTACAATTTAGCTACATTTTCTTCCATATTTTGGGCTAAGACTCATTTTTTAAAATTCTTATTACAGCTCGCCTTCTTTATCGATGCGATGTAATTATTTGGTGAAATCCTTTATTTTTATTTTCATAGGAATTTTATGATTTTTTAAAGTTTTCAAAAAATTTTTCTTGTTCTTTGGAGTATTAAATTTATTGACTTACATAATTTATATATACTGTGCACTATCGATTATCCGGGCCAATGCCGGCACCCAGGTCACTGATAATTCACGCTATTAATTATGATGTGTATTATATGTGTTTAATTTTTTTTTACTTGAAAATTCATTGTTATTTATTTTTTTATTTCGTATTTGAGAACTTTTAAATATTTATTGAATTTCAAAGCGTATTTTTTGAAGTTCTATTTTATCATTATATTCGAACACGCTTGGTTCGACGAAGCCCAACAGAGTCTCAGCAGAAGGGTTTGCTGTCTCGGGAGTAATGTAATTATTAACTTTCTTCGCTTGTATTTTCAATAGCACTCTCTGCTTCTTGTGACATTTGAAACGATATCCACATGATTCAATCACTGAAAGCCCGGCTGAGTCGAATCGCCATCGAACCATTCTCGATGGTTTTCCGATCGATATTTTCGAAGGATTTTAAATTATTATTATTATTATTATTATTATTATTTGGCATACAGCTTGATTTATTGCCTCAGCTTCTTCAAAATAAGGAAGGCTTCAGAAATCTGGAGATACAAAAATGCAAGCTAATCGTTGAAACTAAAGCTAAAGACGCAGTTCTTGGTTTTTAAAGCATGCTCATAATTCTCATAATGTTAAATACAGTGCGTTCTAACAGAACTATTTGGATATAACCGAACTATTTTATCGAACTCCATCTAGTGGCAACGAGAACAACTTACAGTCAGTCGACCTCCAGTTGCGATGAGAATAGGTTCTCCAATATTATGTCTCCGTGACTCGAACGTTAATTCTAAATGATAGGTGTTCCGTTTTGGTGCACGTTCTGTTTTGATGTATATTCTCTTTGTACGTCTTTCTATGCTCTGTTAATAAATACTTTTATTTTTGAATTATTGTATATTTACGGTGTTTGTGCTTATAGAAGAAAAATTGCAATGTTAGTCTTTTACATACTATCGCATACAGCGTTGAGTGTGTCCCATTCAACGCTATAATCCGCAAAACCGTATAATGTACGCACTGATAATCGAGAGTACACTGTATACATTAATTTTATAAGTTGAACAGCTTGAATTAAATACACTCTGAAGAAAACGAGTTGGGGCTGCTAACAATGGCAAACTTTAAATCGAAATTGTCAAACAAAAATTTAAGTGTATTTTATGTTATTCTTATACATTTAATTTTTCTGTTAACAGTTTACAGGGTTAAAATTATATAAACGTCACAATGCAGTCCTTGTATCGGCGTCCTATGGTTTTATTTCTACAAACATACGATGAAAATATTACGAAAGCTAAAAATTTTATTTATTTAATGCAAATTATTTACTTATTTTTAAATTTTAGCTAAAATTAAACTTAAAAATTTATATATATTTATATAGTTTATCATGTTTATAAACTTTAATTTACAGTAAGGAGGAAATAATAAAGGAAGAGAATCACTGTCTCTGCGCGTAGAAAAGTTATCAGTTCTGATCAAAGTAACAAGAAAGTATGCGAAGTCGTGTTTCTTCACTGTCTGTCTGTTTCACTATCTGTCAGGTGGAGTCAGACTACATTAAGCTCATTTGAATTTCTGTTTAATTCAGAAAGCTGATTGCATCACCACCTCAAAATCATGGCATTGTTAAAAAAAGGCAAATTAAATTTATGATTAAAAAATTCTTCATTATTAACCCAACTGGAAAAAAAAATTGAAAGATTTTTGAAAAACTGTAGAAATTTCGTAAATTATGTTAAAAATTCTGAAAAATCTTCATTTAGGAGATTATTTTTACAATCTGATGGTACAAAGACTGGTCGGACACATGCAGCTTAATGCATTTGTCGGAAAGGCGGAACCCATCTGTTGCTGGTCTCATCACCGACAGTACTGCCAAGGGTTCAACTACAGGAAGCAGCCAATATTATGAAAACTACGGAAAATGAGAGAAAGGGCATTCATAAATAACCAAGCCCGAGGTTCGAGTCCCGACGAAGGGACTGACTGCATGAGCGTTTTCGTGGTTTTCCCCATACCACTCAAGCTACCCATACCATACAAGCTAGTTTTCCTCAAAAAGTCCTCCACAGGGCATCTCTCCCTTTTATATAGTGCCCAATGGCGGAGAACTCAATAAATAAAAACAAAGATGATTTTATGAAAACAGCATCAGAACTTTAGGTGGGAGCATTTCTGTAAGTACTTTTTATATGTAATCTATTTTTATCTGTAAATACTTTTTACATATATACAAAACATAACCTTTTATATGTACCTCTTTAAACAAAAATCCCATTTGGTAACTACTCATTATTCGTTTCTGAGTTAAATACAAAAAGTCTGCACCTGCCTGTGCAAATTCTCAGAAATATTCGAAAGCGAATTAATTTTTCATCGCATTTCATCTTTTTCGGGGGGAGGGGAAGGTAAAGTAAAAATATAAGTAAAATTATGTATTTAGTTTTGGGACCAAGGTAATAAAAACTAATTCCATTCCTTTATTTTAATCGAAACAGAAAAGAGTTACATGTTTACGCAAATAAAAAATTATCAAAATAATGCATAAATCGAAAAATAAAATTCCTCCCATATGCATTTCAATAAACAGATATTTGGCCTACGGGGGTGGAGAAGAAAAGAAAAAAGGATCTCAACCGAATTTGTTATGTGTGCAAGTTTTTATTTTACTTAATGTTTTAACGAGAAATTAATTATTTGAAGGAAATCAAACGAAACCAATAAAAACGCGGTACCAAGATCTAAATTAAAAATCGCATTAAATCTGTCCAAAGGCAGACAGAAGATATATTGTCAACAGATGGCGCTATAAGTCAATGACAGAAAAACGTATCTTATTTTCACTCGACTTTTATTTTTCATTCGTATGGAAA